TGTCTGGGCACAGTTTCAACACTGACCAGTGTCCACCCACTTCCGTATCAGCTGTCTGTGTTCTTCAGAATGGAACTCTCTGTAGATCTGTAAATAACCTACACAGAGGGAAACTCATTCAGGACTATCGCATTTTTCAGGAGCCCAGGAGAGCACTGCAGGACTCCTCCCCACTATTGCCTGTAGCAAGGGCATGTAGGTAGGAGTGGATCTCAAGACAGCCTGAGGCCCTGGAAGCACTGGGCTCTGTAAGTCTAGGCCTCCTGCCCTGTCACTACCACCAAACACTCTCACTTGGGCTTAATCTCAGTGTGTCTCTGCCTGTCCAGGCAGTGCCATCTTACTATTTACCCTGCCAGTTCCTGGGTGTGAACAGGAGCCGTGGTGCAGAATGGCAGGTGCAGAGCAGCCTTCTAGTGTGAAGTCTCAGGAATTTTCAAAGTTGAGTCAGAAAAAAACATTGGAAATATACCAGAATGTTCCTAGGAGTTACTTCTGGTAAGAAATGGCCAGTAGATTATAGGTTGGCTTTTTATTTTTCTTTGTTGGTTTGTTTGAAGGTTTTGTTTGTTTGCTGGTTTGTTGGGTTGTTTGTATTTAAACAAGACCTACAGCTTGGTGCTGTAGGCTTGGGGTCTAGCTCCAACCCCACCCCAACCTGTTCTTTCAGAAAACTTGTCCCAAGAAAGTGAAGGGACTGTGTAATGGGCTGATCATGGTTGTCAACCTAACACACCTGATAAGAGGGAACCTCAACTGAGGAATTGCCTTAGATTGACCTGTGGGCATGTCTGCTTTAATGAATATATGCTTCATTTACTTCTTTGTTTTTGATGCTCAAAACCTTGGCTAGCCTGGAATTCACTGTGTAGACCCCAACTGACCTCAAAATCATAGAGATCCACCTGCTTCTGCCTCCCAAATGCTGAGATTAAGGCATGTGCTGCCACATCCAGTAGATACATAGAATACTGTTTTAAAGATTTCTTGAGGTAGGGTCTCACTATATAGCCCTGGCTGGCCTGAAGCCTGCTGTGTAGACATTTATCTTTATTTTGTATCTTTGACTGTTTTGCCTGTGAGTGTGTGTGACAAGTGTGCTTGCTGCCCGTGGAGATTAGAAGAGGCCATTGAATCCCCAAACCAGAGTTACAGAGGTTGTGAGCTGCAGTGTGGGTGTTAGGAACAGGGCCCCCTTTTATACTTGTTCATTTTGTGTGTGTTTGTGTACCAACTGTGCAGGGACCCACAGACTTCTGGAGTCTGTGAATCTGGAATTCCAGGTGGCTGAGAGCCCTCCATCACGGGAGATACTGGAAACCAAACTGAGCTCAGTAAGAGAAGCCTGTGCACTGAGCCATCATCTCCAGCCCCAGTGTGTACCAGCACCTCTCTCTCCAGTAACTGAGCCAGCCATGACTGAGAATATTTGGGAGCAGGAGAAATACTGTCTGTTCAGGGCAAGGCAGAGCCTGAATGAAGTAGATCTCTGCCTTAGAGACCATGGTTTATGTGACCAGGTGCTTAAGGCTGTAAGGTGGGACTACCTGCATAGGACCTGAGTGTGTCTTCTTTTCTCTCAAGTAATTAGGAGTTCCTAAATTCGCTACAGACTTGCCTATGACAGATCTGATAAAGGTGATTCCTCAGTTGAGGGTCCCTCTTCCCAGGTGTGTCAAGTTGACAACCGGAATTAGCCCTCACTTCTTTGCTTAGCAATTTTCTGAAAGAACAGGCTAGGAATAGCATTAGGGCTAGGCCCCAAACCTGGGTCTGGAGCCCCGAAGTTCTACATCCACTACTTACCCTATGGCTATGGTCAGACAGGCTCTAGCTTCCTGCAAATGACTCAGCTGAAAGAGCTGAAGAACTGGCCTGTGATCACTCACTCTTGGCCTGCCGTCCTCTTTCCTCCTATTGTTCCTAATTCCAGCAGCCCTACAGCAAGTCCTTTCCCCGTATTTCTCACTTCTTGGCCTAGAATGTTTCTCTAGGGCCTCCATTGCGACATCTGTGTTCAGCCCAAAGGGTCAGAGTCAACCCTAAACCCCAGCCCACCTTTTTGGGTTTTCGAGACAGGATTTCTCTGTGTGACCCTGGCTGCCCTAGAACTCACTCTATAGACCAGGCTGCCCTTGAACTCAGAGATTCACCTGTCTCTGCCTCCCGAGTGCTAGAATTAAAAACGTGTGCAGGGTGTGTGCCAGCACCACCACTGGCTGGACCTTCCCTATTTTTTTTTCTTTTTATTATTTTTTTGTTTTGTTTTTGAGACAGTGTTTCTCTGTGTAGCCTTGGCTGTCCTGGA